GGGGGGTTTGAGCTATCTTTTACATTATATGTATTATTTTCTGACTATATCTAAGTCATAGTGTTAGTGGTTACTTCTAAGTGATTGTTGATTAAGCCTCTGTAAAATGTGGTGCGCTGAAGTTTTCTATGATATACGACCTACTTTGTCTCTTTCCTCATCTCTTGAAGATAAAGTCTTATTTGAGTCTCTTTCCAGTCTTAAAGAAATTAAAGTGTATTTAATTTTTTAAAATATATTTTAGAATTACAGAAACGTACCATCATTGACTTTGGAGGACTAGGTCTTTGCATGTACAGTTTCCAAAGCAGCTGTTTTAAACATGATACAGGTTTCATGGTGTCATGTTTCTTCTGAACAACAGATTGGAAAAGTCAATGTTATGTTTAATCCAGTAAGTGAACCTAATTTAATGTTAAACTGTATTATCTTCCTGATATGAGTACTTACAAGCCATTTGCTTTCAGAATATTTGATTCAATTTATTTGGGAGTCTGATTAATGATAGCTTAATTTTTCCTATAGTATTTGTATAAGCTGTCTGAAGTTAAGGTAAATCTCTGATAGAACTTTTTTAGAGTGTTCTCTGAATATTCTGAGAATATTCTCAGACTGCTATTCCTTTTTTTCTTTCTTTCTTTTCCTTAATATTTTTACTTAAGTCAAATTTGATGCAGTTGACTGGGTAGGACCATAATGAAGCATCATGTATTTATCCATTCTCATTGTTTGTAAGTGTGTGACAGTGCTCAAAGTAGAAATTCAGCTTTCAAACAAAATGACAGAAGATTTTTTTTCCCCTCACTCTTGTAAATTTTGTATTTCAAAAAATATCTTCCCTTTTTTGCATTTGATTTATTTACCATAGTTGTTCTGCTGTCAACCAATGGCATGTGTATTCAGTCTGGAAAATAAACTTGAGATTTTTAGTAGCATTTAGTAGCAGAAATTTAAAGCTGTTATTAAGCTGAGTATTAAGTAGGCAAGCCTGAAAAAAAGGTAAAATTTTGCATTTCAGAGTCCTATACCATCCTGAGTATGTATGCATGTTAATAAGAGTATAAAAATAAATTATATGTGCACACTGAAACATTTATTGGTATTAGACAAATTATTCTCCACTGCTGCACCATATCTTCTCAGCCAAGAAAAGAGTAAAATTTGTCTGGTTTCAGTTTAATAAATACATGTTCTTGAATATTTGAACATGAAAATGACATACCAGCATATAATGGTGGCTGGTCTCAAACTTACTGTATTGAGAACTCACTGTTAGACTTAAGATAACCAACTAGTCATGTGGTGAAGATGAGAAATAACTCATATTAAAGGAGACTGGAGTTGATGAGTAAAAACAGCATTTATATGAGGATATGGTCCACTCTATAAAAACTGAGAAAGTGTTCTAAAGCGTAAAGCGCTAGTTTTCATATTGACCACTGTTCTACACTAGGACGCCTTAGCAGCAGGTACTTTACAAACCCAGAAAAAATAAATGGTTGTTTAGTCCCAAAATGTTTACAGAAGAGTTTCAGTGCAGTTACCATATATATACTGGCATTCTTTTTATAAGTTGCTATAAATCCTTGAACAACATGGGAAAAATAGATCTCTCTATTTATAAGCTGTCCACAGTGCATTGTAGTGTAAGGTTCGAAGATGCTTCAAGAAAAGGCTAAGGATTCTATAATTGAAGGTGAAAGAAGTGGAAAACAGTTTTAAAAGATCTTCTTCCTCTAATTTAGACCTTTTAAAGGGTGCATAGCTTAGATAATAATTTGGCATGCAAGATAAGGAGATCGTTGTTCAAATGCATCCTTTAAGAGTCTTGATTTTGGGAGACTTCATTTTTTTCTTGCCTACATATATTGTTTTCTGCTGCTGCATGCCTCGTATCATCCAATAATTAGAAGATTCTACTACTTCTAAATCTCTCCTGTGTATTAAAGACAATTAGAGATAGTATGTTCAATTTAGGTTTTACTTTTACAGTATTTGGGACTACTTACGGAACAGGCAATAGGAGAGTAGAACAGTATGGCTTCATTAAGTGCTTCCCCAAAGAGACTGCAGTAAATTTGCCCAGCTATCCAAACTGTTTTTTCTTTCTTTACATCACAAATGAACTTTTTTGTATATTAAACAGGAAAGCTTACAAAATTAAGACTTTTCCATGCAAGATAAATAATGACTAAATTGACACTACCCTGTTGTCCAGCTATATAGGTTTTGATAAACAAATCATTCCAAGATCGTTTAAAAGAGGATTTAATAAAAACAACTTGTGAGCTTCCTGGTTTTGGCCACATGTCACTGCAGGTATTAAACACTAATTTGATACTCTCAAATTCCCGTATAGAATGCAATTATTACAGTCAGTCATACACTAAACACAGTCCTATAGATTCTGTGGGACAATGTAAATGTGTACTTAGGGAGTATTTATGAAACCCCCCAATATTGTTCAAATTCACAATTTACAAGTATTGTAAATTATACAAGTTACACTATAAATTTATTTGAAATTATCAAAATGTAAAATCTTTTTTAACATGTAAGTAGGATTTATTTAGCGTTAGGCAGACTTATGTAAAAATCTAGGCTACTAAGTTATCAACGTTATAGAACGTTTTGCCAAAGAACAGAGTTTTGACCTGTATATATTGTTTCCAAATAAGTAGTTATGGGTTAAACTGAGTGTAGAAGAAATCAGTAGTGCCATATTCTGTTCATTCTTTTTATAGAGTACATCACTGCACTATTTTTTCCAATTGAAATGGAATCTCTGTATAAATTTATATTATATTATAAAAGTTTACAGTGCTTGTTATTCAGGTTCTTTTAAATATTGTTCTGGTTTTCCATCATTTTATATAATAACTTTCAATAAAGAATGTGACTGAAAAAATATCCACATTGTGCTGTTGACTGCAGACAGTAATGTCACCTCTGGAGGTCTGTAGTCTACACCAAAATACTAGTGTCTTCTGTGCACTAACAGTTGTTCACATATTTTTGCAACTTCTTTGAAAATACTGGTGAACATATGCAGTGTATGGCTTTTGAACCAAATTATTTCCTTTGTTTTGAATTTTCTCGCATGAGTCAAAACATTGAGCCATGTCACAGACTAGTAACTTGTAAAGAGGCACCAAGAAAGCAGAGATTTTGTAATGAGTACAGCACAAATAAGCTTATGTAATTTTCTTCTAAGTTACTGTATTAGAAGTAGCAGAATGATTTAGCTTTCCCTCTACTCTGTTAAAAACAAACAAACAAACAAAAAGAGATCTGGAACTAACCATGTTCTAATTCTTCAAGAACTTCCAGGATAATTTTGATATACCTTGTTTTGATTTTGTTTGGTTAAGCCCATTTTTTTTGCGTGGTCAGGTTCCAAACTAAGAATGGCAAGAATGCACATACCAGTAGTGAAAAATATACATAGACATCTACATCTGCAGACACTTCTCTGTGTTAAAGACTGATACAATAGCTTCAGCTCATGTTTATATCTGAAAAAACCCCAATAATACTAAATCAGGTACTTTTTATAAGCATCTGTATATCCTAAGCTTAATAAAAATGGGATTGGATGGCTGTGGGGAGTGGCAAGCAGTACCTTTCTACCTGTGAGCTGACTCTAAGGACTAGAATACGAGTGCTTCGTCTATACTACATTTACAATTATCAAGAAGGAACAATTAGTACTAACAGTTGCATCAATAAATCTGAGGATGAACAAGCACAAAGTCTAAATATACAGAACTGCAGAATTATGTGTGTAAATGTACATTGCCAATGCCATATCCCTTCTGTAAACAGAAGTTAAAGGCTGTCAAGCCAATGTTATCTTGCATGTTTAATTTAACATTTAACAGTTTTGCTCTGGAAAACAGCTATGCAAGGGTTTTTTTCAAGCTTTTTCTAGGTAGTCAGAACTAGATTTTTGTTACAGTTTGGTAGTCTAGAAGGATATAGGAATAGAATGAGAAACAATAGTATTCAGTTGTAGTGCCAAATTTAATCTCTGCCATGCTAGTGAAGTCCTCACTAGGATAACAAGAATTAACCACATACATCTGAATACGTGCTGAATATATTGGTGATCTGTTGGAGCATAGATTCCAGAAAAAATCTTCACCACTGAAGTAGAAAAACAGAAACTGGGGGACAGTAAAAAGCAGGAGAGGATATGAACACACTGAACAACTGGAATTCTAATTTATTCTACTGTCAAAAACACAGATATCCAGATAACCAGCCATCTTAATTTTAACTTTTTACCTTAAAAATATTGAACAGTTGAAATTGTCCTTACTTCTACTTGAAAATTGAAATTGCTGTTTTCTCCAAGTGAGCTGTATAGACACCACAGTTTCAGAAGGCTTCATAGATTAAATAAGGTCAGAGACATAAAAACTAAAGGCCAGTTTGGTCAGATAGGAGTTCTGTGCACTCTTCCAACAGATTCTGTGTTATCTCTCATCCCATATATGTTCCTGGGGTTGAGGACATTTTTATTTAGGGGTCTAGAGGAAGCTTTTCTACCTGAAAATGAAAAAAGTAGTTAATGAAATACTTCAAAATTATTAAAAGGTGAAATACTTAACATTATACGTTACTGCATGTACGGTGTATTTTGTTTTTACAGAAGCAAAAAATGAGGCAAATATATAATTGAAAGTTGAAAAAAGTATTTCTGCATTTCAGTAAGCTGAAGGATGATATAGTAATTATCCAGTGATTTACTGGGGCGGGGGGTGGTGGTGATGGTTTGGTTTTGTGGTTTTGGTCATCTATCAGATTCATTCTGTTCCCCCCCCAAAAAATGTATTGATAATTCATTGAAAACAGATCCAAGTTGGTTTAATGACTGTAACCTTTCCAATAAATTTAGATTCCATGCTATAGTGCCATCTGATCTTTAATAAATATATGTATTTTTCAAAGTGTTCGGTCCTGCAACAGTAAATTAAAATTCTGTATATTATTTACAGGTGCAGACTGTTCAGACTTCACTATCTGAATCTCCAGTGATGACCAGCCCTTCCCAACGTATCCAGATAATTTCCACAGACTCCTCTGTAGCTTCACCACAACGCATTCAGGTAAAAATCCGTTTATTAAGTAACTTCTTTTTTTTTCTCCTCCTCCCACTTTAGGTTTATACAAAAGCATACTAAAGTCTATGGAAGACTTCCTTTAATTTTATGAGGACAGATCATTTTAAGTGCCAACTAAAACTCTTTTTCTCCCTCAGCATGTATTTGGTGATAACTAGTTGGCTGTATATAATAATTGTGTTGATGATGTAGTCAGTGAGGAATATTTGCAGAGGTTAAACAGCCTACGTATACAAATCTCCTGAGCTCTAGCCATAGCAAATGGGCAGACATTGTCAACAGAACACCTAAGATCATCTCCAAGGGCATTTCTCTCTCTCTCCCCGCCCCAAGCCCCATATTTAGGAGCCAGTGGGAGACTAGCCTATTTAGGATAAAGTTAGCCTTTGGGAATGCTGCACATTGGGTCGGCTACTGATAGATAATATAAAGATACCATTGATGTATCAGAATGTATGCAGTGAGAAATGATACAAGAATTGTTAAGTATTAGTGTTACTAGAGTGTTGCTGTAGTGCAATACTGAGCTTTTGCCCTCCTTGACCTTGTTCTGTGCCAGTACAATACTCCCATGTACTTCTGCCAGAGGTGGTGCTGGAGAACAGGATCTTGTACTCCATGGCATTTGGAACAGTCCTGGCAATGCAGCCTCCATCACAGGGTGGACTCTTCTTTGGATGTGTCTTGATCAGAGTGGGTGGGTACTGCCCCTATGAACAGCCCTGAAAACACTTTTTAAATTATTTTGACATTGTCATTATACTTACTATACATGATACGATTTTTTCTGTAATGTTATTTTCAAAGATTCAAATCGCAGCATGTATAATGATGTACATTGTTAGTTTTTCTTATGAACCTAAATATCATTCACTTCTTATCCAGCCTAATTTTTTTGTCTTAGTTATTTATTGTCATCAGTGCTTATATCTGATCCGTGAAAAATTACAAAGAAGTCTCTATGATTTTTCTTTATAGACAGCACCAAGGAGATGTTCTTCGGTTATCAACAACATTTAGCTATGTATTTTATTTAAGATATTATTCCTTAAAGTTATCAACAAAAGGTGGAATCAGGTAGCCTTATTGTTTCATATGTCAATTCTCAAGATTCTGTTATGATGGCAGGTTTCTATTTTTGATACAGTTGTCTGGTAACATAATCTCTATTTTGCCTGGTAGAGTAACCATATCAATATGTATCAATATTTCATTGCAAGGTAGATGTTCTCACAACATGTATAACTGAAGCATAATGAATATTCAGCATTCATAAGGTAGGTATTTACATTGCAACTTTTGTTCAATTCTGCAAAATAATCTACCTCCTTTTATCACTGATATTTCTGAAAAAAACCTACGGCTCCATGATGAAGGAGAATACTAGGATGAGAAAAGGGTATTCCTCCTTCCTCAAAACAAATACAGGCAATATCTTAGCAGTGTCAGTCGTAATCCAAGATTAGATTTGGCTGTGAATTGTCCCATTAACAGTTAAGATCTATATGAAAATGTGAAGAAATCTCAGCAGAGAAAACTCTGGGGAGCTTTACAACTTAACAGTTTTACAACAATGGGACTGAGGGGTAATGATTGTCCTTTAACCTATCAGCTTTTTTGGAGCTTTATGTTTGTAGACTTCATACACTTAACACACTGAAACGTTTATGCATATGAGACCTAAAATGGCTTATTCTATTCTGTACATATAAGAATCTAAAGGGTCCCTGAAAAGCTCTCTTGTCCAAAATTCAATAGTAGGCTGGCTTCATCCCCACCTTTGAGTACTATTTCCTTTGTGCAAGTTTCTTTAGGTTTGTAGTCACAACATATGGGATGAATCTTTCCTAAAGAGTTTCTGTAATGTAGAAAAATCATCAGCTGTGTAATTTTGGTAGTTCTCCTGCTTTTGGTAGTTCTAGCGCCTTTTTAAGGCATTCTAGCTTAGTAAAACTATTAGCATAGTCTTACTATTAAACTATTAGCATATGTCTTACTTTCTGTAAGACATATTAACAAAAAAGGCACAACAACTAGATAAAAAGTCTAGGTAATCAAAATTAGGGAAATAAATACACTGTTATTGTGACACCTAGTACAGTCAATTTAATAGGAACATCAGTGTGTGTAAATTCACTTCACATTTTATTTTCAGTAATAGCTTTAACTCTGACATTAGGCCAAATGTGTAAATGAATAATATCAAAATAACTTTCATAGTCAGATGTATACAAAATGAATACAAATCTCAAGAATGTACCACTCTGCTTTTTTTGTCAGCTGGAGTAATTTTTAATTTAATGTTTTTATAAATGATCTGGAGGTAGGAGTCAAATGTACCTTAAGTAAGTTTGCCTGTGATACTAAATTAGGAGGAGCTGCGGACTCCCTCGAGGGTAGAGAGGCCTTGCAGAGAGATCTGGATAGACTAGAGAGCTGGGCAATTGCCAACCATATGAAATTTAACAAGAGCAAGTGCTGGATTCTGCACTGGGGACAGGGTAATCCTGGTTATACATACAAATGGAGTGATGAGAGGCTGGAGAGCAGCCCTGTGGAAGGAGATCTAGTGGTTTGGGTTGATGGCAAGTTGAGTATGAGTCAACAGTGTGTCCTGGCAGCCAAAAGGGCCAACTGTATCCTGGGGTGCATCAGACACAGCATAGCTAACTGGTTGAGGGAGGTTATTGTCCCACTCTACACTGCACTGGTGCAGCCCACCTCAAGTACTGTGCAGTTTTGGACGCCTCAATATAACAAGGACATCTATTAGAGTGTGTCCAGAGGAGGGCAACCAAGATGGTGAAGGATCTTGAGGGCAAGACTTCTGAGGAGCGGCTGAGGTCACTTGGTTTGTTCTGCTTGGAGAAGAGAAGGCTGAGGGGAGACCTCATTGCAGTCTATACCTTCCTCAAGGTGGGCGGTGGAGGGGGAGGTGCTGATCTGCTCTCTTTGGAGACCAGCGATAGGACATGAGGAAATGGAATGAAGCTCTGTCAGGCCAAGTTCAGGTTCGGCATTAGGAAAAAGTTCTTCACTGAGAGGGTGGTCGGTCACTGGAACAGGCTCCCAAGGGAAGTGGTCATGGCACCAAGCCAGTCAGAGTTCAAGGAGCATCTGGATGATGCTCTTAGTCATGTGGTTTAGTGTTAGGTAGTCATGCGAGGAGCAGGGAGTTGGACTCGATGATCCTTATGGGTTCCATCCAACTCAAGATATTCTATGATTCTATGAAATTTCTGTGATGCTGTCTCACTAAGCAGAGTATACCCTGCATATATACCTGCTGTTTATCAGCTGCAGTCCTTAACATTACATTTTGTTCTTATTCTGTCTGGGATCCAGTATATCTAACTCCTTTTGAACAATTAAATGTGATTACAAGATTGCCCCATATCTCTTCATCATTAACAATATCAGACTTACACTTTTCACAACTCTGTCTAGTATTTTCCGTCTATGCAGTAGGTATGTAGATACATATACATATATATTTGATTTGATTTTTATTGTTTTGCACTTATGTAGGTAGTTGCAATAACTTTGTACCAGTGTAATAAATGTACAAATAGCAAAATAATAAATAACAAGGATGATTATTAGAGAGTATGATATAATTCTGAGGCAAAATGAAAGGTTTTAAAACATAAAGTTTACTGTGACTCATAAAATTCTTCAATGTGTTTTACAGATTGTGACGGATCAGCAAACAGGTCAAAAAATCCAAATAGTGACAGCAGTGGACTCAGCTGTGTCTCCAAAGCAACAGTTTATTTTAGCCAGTCCAGATGGAACTGGTGCAGGAAAGGTGATACTGGCAGCACCTGAGACATCTAATGCCAAACAGCTTATCTTTACCACCACGGACAACATTGTGCCAGGCAGAATTCAGGTAAATATAGTAATTGAAATAGACCATAGATTTTTGTTTTTCAGTTTTTGACTTTTAGATTATTTAAGTCTATAATTGCTTTAAGACAAATTGCAATAGTTTTCTGAAGATCTAATGACATGGATTAGACCTACTAATTGTAGCCTTCATTATTCAATCATAAATCCTCCTGTCTTCATGTTCCTCATGCATTCCATTGCACTCGTCACCCCTTGTTATGTGTTCTCATTAAAATTCCAAGGGCGTATAAATACTTAAGATGGTGCTTGTGAGGAGTGCCAGGATTTCAGATGGTCTGTTAAAGATTCACAGATACAGAGATACAACTCACCTGAGCAAACTTACGTTCACAATGCAGCATCAAGACATTACAGTAAAAGCTCTTTGTAGCAGAAGCTGTCCTCTGCTATAGTTGTTTGTGGGTCTTGAGCATAATCCAGACCAATGGGAGCTTTGCAAAACAAATTATATAAGCAATAATCTATCTATAGTGAAATTTGAGATTTCTTCCTAGCAGTCTTAAAAAAAAAAGAAAGCACCTGGTCCCTATTGCTACTGTTACAATAGAGAATATTTTACAGGGCGAAGTATCATTCTTACCTAAATATTTGAAAAATTGTATTAACATTCTTTTAAAATTTATTTTACTATGCTAAATGATTACCTGATGTTACAGAGGGTGTGTTTGGGGTTGTTGGTTTGGGGGTTTTTTTTAAGTTTTCCTGTGTTAAGTGGAATGTTCTGAACAGAAGTTTTGGAATCCAAGGCCTTCAGAAGCTAAACTGTTTCTATAATGGATCTCAGCTTCAGGCTATCCCCTCTGAACCGTATACCCCTAATAGCTAGAGAAGGGATAGATGGGAACAGGATCTGAAATACAACCATCTTTGCCTAAAATACAGCAGCTGTTTGAGAGTAATTGCAAGAAGGGAAGAATACTGTTGGCTGCACGAGTGAAGAAACTTATTTGTACTGAACAATGCTAGGAGTTTTACTGGGAATTTGTTTTGCTATGACTTTCAACAGTCTCACTATTGACAGTAAAAACTCTCAGTAGCTTGCATTTTATACTACTTAATTTCATTCCACGTCATACTTATTCTCAAATTCCACCACCTCTTCTCAGTTGATACGCCAATCTTGTTTTTTAGGCAAAGCTCCTTACTTTCATGTCAGAAGGAAATATTGGCTAATTACCTCTTTTTGTTCTGGAATTTTGTTTTAGATAGTGACAGACTCTGCTTCAGTGGAACGTTTGCTGGGAAAATCTGATGTTCAGCGGCCCCAGGTAGTAGAATATTGCGTAGTCTGTGGCGATAAAGCATCAGGTAAGGAAGCACAGAAAGTAGTATTCAAGAACTTGATTGAAAGGATGACTGGGATGAAGGGAGGAAGTTTCATGTATTTTAACTGATTTTTAGCCATGCTGATGGCAAAAGCAATTGAGGCCAAAATGGAAAAAGATAACATTATACTTTGTATCTATACACACAGAGTAGTTAAACTCTGCTTGGAAGAATATTAGTTTGTACTTCACAGCTGGAGTGCATGGTAAATTGGCACGTGCTGAAAGACAAAATAACGATTGAATAGCTCCTGGTACCTGAAAGAGAGTATTTGAAACATTTAGTCCAGTTCCCCACAGCTATGGGCAACCATGCAACAAACATGTCACCTAGAAAAGTCTACCTACTCCAGGAAAACACTTCTTAGTGCTCTCTAACAAACTTATGACTTCCCGGTAGATTTTGGCCTTTTACTATCACAGAAAAAAGCAAGTAGAGATCAAGTGAATCCTCAGTGTTTCAGATCCATGCAGTAACAAGGAGCCTACGAGGTAAATTTTGTACATCAGCCACGGAAGCGGACTGTGCTTTCCTGCTACAGAGAAGACATCTTTCTGTCTCTCTGTCTCACTTTCTTTTATTTTTTTAAGTGTTTAGGAATTTTAAATCAAGATTGCATTTCAAATTTTATTGTAGAATTACTTATATTCTGGAATTACTTAAACTCTTAGCCTGTATGTTCTTTCAATGTATCCTATAATCTGTAACAGCAGATGGAATTGCATCTGTACTTGTCCAGAATGGGAACTACCACTTCACAGGCGCCTCATTCAGAAATAGGCTTAGCCTTCCTCTCTTCTCTCTGCTTTCCCACTTAAAAGCCCTGACAATAGGTAAACAAGAAACATCCTGTAAGACTTTAACAATGCTTTCATGGTCCAAAATGATGGTAAGAATACAAAATAAATTTAAAGGGTGACTTTTACAATGTTTTACTTGCTTAAGATAAATATTTCTATGCTAAAATATAAGTACTTTCCATCTGATAACAATATATACGTTTCCTAGGTCGCCACTATGGTGCTGTCAGCTGTGAGGGATGCAAAGGTTTCTTTAAAAGGAGTGTGAGGAAGAATTTGACCTACAGTTGTCGTAGCAACCAGGACTGTATCATCAATAAACACCATCGGAATCGCTGCCAGTTTTGTAGGCTTAAGAAATGTCTAGAGATGGGCATGAAAATGGAATGTGAGTGTTAAGTACCCAATGTGCTACTGTGCCTACCAAATAATAAATGCGTGGACCACCACTTTTTAGTGGGTTCACTCCATTTCGGTGTGTGTTGCTTGAAGGAAATGGAACTTTAGGCAGCCAAAGCATCTACCGTACCTTTACTTCATCACCATTTTATGTCTGAGGTGCAATAGTGATTTGTTTTGAACCATGTCTCATACTGCTGTAACCTTTGAGAAGCCCAGTTAAAGCCTCTCTTAGAATGCATGTTACAAACACAGTGTTATGTTTATAATACAAAATAATTTAACATGGATGGACATAAATCTGAGTCTAATGTTCCATGTTCAGAATCTGCTTACCTTACCTGCTACGTGAAGCCTGTTATCTGGTTGTTTTGTGACAAATTTATGGAGAATTTAAGGTGAAGCAACAAAAACTTTTCCTTTTCCACTCTGATCTAGGCAGGGTAAGTTCCAACCACTGAGTTCAAGGGAGGCAGAACTTTAAGGTGTAAATAGGGAGATCTTTGTTGTATTTGCATTCTGGAACTCCAAGCCTGCAGTGATGATTGTTGTGCTTCGCACACACTGTGCTAAGTATAGGGGGAGACATTTGTACAACAGGAATTGTTGCATTTCCAGAAGCTAAACCTTTCTTATCCCAATAAGATTAGGATATATGCTCACTGACTTCATTGGACTTTGCATCAGGTTTTTGATTAATATTTATGTATCCACCAAGCCAACAAAATGGATATACCTACTTTTAAGCCCCTAAATTTTGCTGACAGTAACGATATTAGCAAGAATAAAATCAAGTACTAAATAACTCTTGCTGGTTATGAGGGTAGAGAGAGACATACCCCTGTATTTTGCTGTTATATTCAAAATGGCTATAGAGGAGCGTTGAAAAATTTTTTTGCGTGTTAATAATGTTAATCTTCTGGAGCAATAACTGCTGTATGATAAATTAGTACAACGAATAGCACAGAAATGTTGTCTCCACTTATATTATGCCTTACATTTGCAAAGTGTTGTGAGAATTAATTAGTACAACACTTAAAAATTCTTTATATTATCCTCATAGTCTTTTATTCATTTTATTATCCGCATTTTCAGGTGAAAAATTGATGCAGTCGAATGTTATGCCAAGCTATAGAGGAGTTTGTAAAGTTTCGTGGCTTAATATTCTAGATAACTTTCTGTAGTCTGTTTAATAATAATACCTTAATATTACAAAGATGCACTTTTCACTTCCTTTAAAATTATGAAGTTGCTGTTTCTTACTATTTTTATTAAAAGATTTACCACACTTCTTTGGCACATTGGAGACTGAGCTTATCTTCTTCCAGTTATCAATTAGAAATATTTTAAATTCTGAAAAGGTTAGTTTTGGAACACTGTTCCCTAACTGGGTGGAATGAATGGATGTGAGTGAATTGCATATCATGCAGAGACTCGTCTCCCAGGGAATTAACGTGCATCTCTCACATAACTTGCCTGTCTTGACTTTATCTGGGTTCGTTCTGGGTTTGCATTGTTTTGAATCATCCAGAGTATGACTCCGTCTAACATTTAGGTATAGCTTTATCTGTAAAAAAAAATAATAAATAAGACAATTTGAAAACACATTTTGCAGAATGTCCCATCTTATTAAATGCCAATGAAACGGCAAGCTTTGACTCCAGTTCACCAAAACTTAAAGCAAATGATCAATCTGTGACTTTCTTAGTTGAAAATGTACATAATTACAGGAAAATGGGACCCTGTGTTTCTTCAGCCTTCATATTAAATTTCCAGTTTTGCACTGAGCTGATACACCATCATGACTGTGCAAACTGAAATCCTGCTGTGAGAATTTTACTTTCTTTTTGTATTTTTCAGTTGAATTACTTCCTTTCAAATCTGCATGTTTCTATCTTTATGTAGCGGTTCAAAGTGAAAGAAAGCCTTTTGATGTGCAACGTGAAAAACCAACCAACTGTGCAGCTTCCACTGAAAAAATCTATATTAGAAAAGATCTACGAAGCCCTCTAATAGCAACTCCAACATTTGTGGCAGATAAAGATGGGACGCGGTGAGTACCGCGGTTTACCGGGTCTTGTTTAAGGTTATTTGTGTGTATTACTTTGCAGGCACACCTATACTCTTTTTTCCCCTCTGCTCTAAAGAATTGGACAGAAAAGAGCTCCAATTCACAAATCATCTGTTTCCGTTGCCAAGACCAACCTAGATTGTTCTGCTTCTCATGAAAGTTTTTGTGTCTGAGTACAGCTGGGTGGTTTTCAGTTCAGAGCTGGCACTTGTCCAGACAGGTCAAAGCACAGGCAGGGTACATATGTGATATTCAAGCAAAAAGCATGTAAGCTTACGCTGTGATGCATTCAGGTTAGCACTTCTCTGAAATCAAATCTGCAAATGGCAGGCTCAGGCTTCCTTATCCTAAGGACGGTAGTAGAAGAGACTGCAGTGACTACCAATTCAGATCCCAAGAGACCAGTTTCAAGAACAGCAGCTTCCTTTTACTGTATGGAAGATATTCTGAGACAGTTCCCATGCTCTCAGTTGTCTTTATAGGCAGTGGGCGTGGAAATGTGCATTATAATAAACAGAGGCAAGATTTGTCTTTTTCTGAATAGAATAAAAAAGAACTCTAGGTTAAATAATCACATTTTTAAAACTGTAGGTACAGTTAGTTTATGAATGGATAATAACCACCTAAAGATATTGGATCTCAATATTCAGTTTATATATATATATATATTCTTTGTTGAACAAATGACACTGCAGTTAGGAAGATTGGGCTACAGTTTTTTTGGATAATAGTTTTTCAGTGTTCACATTTGCAAGTCAGATTGTTCAGAAGTACTGCTCACAGACACATTTGCTTCTTTGAGATTTCCTTGTGCTACAGATCCCTTACAGTCCTATAAACAATATTAATAGTCATTAAGTGTGACTGTTATTTATGTAGGATTCATAACAATTTACTGCCTGTGGTAGTTCACAATGTTAGTTGTTAGACACCTTAAACTATAAATCCCCTGCAGCCTGAACCTGTCCTGTGTGCATTTGTATTGGGTTATGCAGACTTGGAGTGTTACATAAGTAACAGACTTCCCACTGTCTCCCTAAATTAGATACAGCAAAAGCAAAGGATGGTTGGTCAAAAAGTAGCAGAAGTAAAGGCAGCAGAGATTTTATGCAGACCTTAATTACATGACTGTTTATGACTGTATTTTGGAATGTAAAATATCTTTTCTTGACATAACTTTTTTCTTCAGTGCTGTCCATTGTCTAACTTAGAATGCATAGTTATGCCTTCCTCCAAAGTCTAATGTATAACTCTACAGCTATTAAGTGACTTCTGAGAGCATGAGAAGACAACAACCCTTATAACAGAATAAACCAGCATAAAAAGCAAATGAGAGGATATCTATTTGGGAAGTTGTCGTTGCTTTTGCACAGGAAAGGAGAACATATTCCAGTCTTTCTGTCTTTCAAGCTAGTTTTTGGAAACTGTTTCAGAAAGACTTAAACCCTGATGAATAAACTCTGAGCTTCTTTAAATTGTTAATTTAAAACTTGGTAATCCTTTTTATTCTGCCATAAGTTGTTACACATTCTTCTGATTAATGTAAAATATTATTGTCAAATGCCTTATGCTTTTGAACAGGTCAGCAGGTCTTCTTGATCCAGGAATGCTTGTGAATATTCAGCAGCCTTTGATCAGGGATGATGGTACAGTCCTCCTAGCTGCTGACTCCAAGGTATAATTCTTTCAGTTAAGTTCTGAACATATATATTAATTTGCTCAGATTATTTTAGCTATGTACATAGACACAATTCTTGCTCTTGAGAAGATAAGATTGGGTTAAGTCTGAAGATCTGCATGAATGGAGGTAATTAGCTGATCAACAGGAACACGATTTCTTTTCATGGGCATATTTCTGCAAAAGGTAAGCCACAGGTAGTTCCCCACATGATATGTCAGCCGGGGCTAGGATTGATGATTGCAATAGGATTTAAAGATCATTGTGAGCCACTGTTCTTCCTGTAGGTGTTCAGGAGGAAGAGAAAGGTACATAAGGGAAAAAGAACACAAACATTAAAAATGGGAAAAATTTATGTATGATACACCACCTATCATTTTGATCTACTAATATGGTTCTTCCTTTTTAGGCTGAAACAAGCCAAGGTGCTTTAGGAACACTAGCAAATGTTGTAACATCTCTTGCTAATCTTAGCGAGTCACTAAATAATGGAGATACTTCTGAAGTTCAACAAGAAGAGCAATCCGCAAGTGAGATTACACGGTATGCATTTATATTTGCATCTTATTTAGCAATTTGTATTCTGTGTGGTGTGTACTTACACTCATTCATTGGAGTAATTTGGCATTGTGACGACAAACACAGTAGAGATTGCCCCCAGCTTTGAAGCACAAAAACAGTTCTTTAGAAAACCAGGTTTGGCTGTTGTCCTCTTGTGAAGAACTGTGTCCTGTGTTATAAATGTAGTGTTCTGAAGCTAGACCAGATTTCATACTCAGAAATATATTAAATGACTAGTTTGTGACCTTGAGAGACTCTGAGAATAGCAACACTTTGGTACTGTTTTATTTGATAGGCTTGTTATATGGAAGCTTCTCCTGCACAATGCTTATGCCCTTCTGTATTACTGTGGATTTCTTTTTGAGATTGTGCTGCCATAATACCTGCTGGTAATGTAAGGAAAATGTAGTTAAACTAAGATTAATAACTTTTTTTTTTTTAATGTTTAGAAAGAGTTTGAAGTCTTTGTTGTCTTTATTAATGAGAAAAATGGGAAAAAGAAGCATAGAATCTTGAAATTTCCAGCAGAGCTTGAGATTTTTATGGTTGGGGTTTTTGGTGGGGCTTTTGTGGGGTTGGGGCTTTGGATTTTTTGGGGGGTGGGGGTGAGGGGTGGGGTTTGAAGGACAACATAAATTGGCAGTATAGTGAAATAAGAAAAATACTTGGCCTCAAAACTGTCCATTCTTTCTCAAGTAGAAGATTTTAAAGAGGAGCTTAACTTCAGGCTCTTAAGTCTTTTATTTAAACTCTTCAAGTGAGTGAACTGATATTTAAAATACTTGACACTTCAACTTATGTCAACCTTGTACTCTTTCTTTAAAGCACAAAAAACCCCCACAAAATCCCTCCCCAAAACTTCATGACAAAAATACTGGCAAAACAGCACTATACCATAATACTGTCCGCTAGTATGAAATGGAGCACAAAATTCTTGTTTAAATCTAAGCTCTGTTATCATAAGAAGGGAATTTACACTGCCTTGTTTTGGCAATGGTCCAGCTACAGCTTGAGTATAAAGGAGTCCAGGGACCAGTCTCTTTTCTGTTACTGTCATAAGGCTTCTAAGGCTCTGTCTGTACTGTGAGATCAGGAGTGCCTGGCCATGTCTCATGTTAAGGGAAAGGAAATTCAGGCATGTTGTCTAGAAGAGAACCACACTATCCTCCACTGTTCCAAGAAATTGGACATGAAGGACAGGGACTGCAGGGTGTTCTCCAGGGTGCATCTGGTCTATAATCCTCACATAATCTGTTAAACATTCCAAGGTGAGAAGGAGGGGATAGTGAATGGTAAGTGCAAGAGACCCCTTCACGAGTACATATACTAGCATAAAACTATTAGAGTGGGATTTACAGTAGTAGAAGGTTCCCCCCTTACAGTGGAGATCTTTTACCAGTAATATATGGGCAGATCTATTCCTTTTACTAATGTCCAAACAGTACAGAGGGGCCAGGTTGTAATGAAATCTCTGACCTTGTGTCTTAGCATGAACAGTTCCTGTATATGTTACCTCTAAGCGGAAATACTTTATAGCATTTAATTTAAGTACTATTATGAATTTTTTTAAGGTGTAAGGAAGCACTCTTTCATTGTTTATTACTTTTTTTTTTTTTCAGGGCATTTGATACTTTGGCTAAAGCACTTAATACCACAGATGGTACAGCAGCTCATAACTTGGCAGATGGGATGGATCCTACAGGAGGAGGGAATATTCATGTAATCAGTAGAGATCAGTCAACACCAATTATTGAAGTGGAAGGACCCCTACTTACAGATACACATGTCACATTTAAGGTATGTGCTTCTTTAAATGTCTTACTAAGCAAACACTTATGATATAAACCAAAATTAGTTTACTATGTTTTCTTTAATCTTATATTTAATTTTGGCAATATAATCTAGGATAACATCTGCTTTTACAAAGCTTCTAATACAATTTTCACTCTTGCATGCTGTATCTCAGAGTATAGATGTTATTTCATAAAATGTTTTCATAGACAAAAGGACGCTTTAAAATTTATTTCACTTTCCAATGTTGTTGATAATAATTTTTCATATCATCCATATAGCATGATGTCTTGCTTAATTCAGTTATAATACTAGATAGTGTAAAACCTTCAACTAAAAGGCTCCTTCATATAAAGAGAGGTTACAGTGCCTTCTTAGATGCTTATGGTTAGACCATTGAAAAAGGTCTTGCATTTTAGAGATGCTTCAGCTTCAGTGGAATACAAACACACACATGTGTTGATAAACAGTGTGCGAGAAACAATAAGGGTGTTCGTCTTGCTGTAATCAAATTTCACTGTTTCAAGAAATACAAAGATCATTACTGAAATAAGTAATACTTAATGTAGTCAAACTTTTATCATAACCTGCTTATTCCCATTAATGATGTTTTGTGATTGTAGATTCATATTACTTGACTTTCCCATTTTAGATACTTAGATTTTATTTTGCTTTTAAAGATCTTGTTTTAAAAGATCTTTTATAGCACTGATGCTAGCCAACACTCCACAGACCAATGAAATTTATAGATTTAATTATTATTAAATTAATATTAAAACATTTTAAAAGGAAACATTTGAGCTCTCTCCCACATAATTTCTTGTCTCCTATTCCCATTTTGCATTCCTTGCCAGTAGTAATGAGTCATTTAGTACAGTTTTCCTTTGGCAATTTCTTGTCACACAGTTGCTTATGACAGGCTATGAGAGTGGTTTGAATGTTTTCACTGGTTATTTCATCGATAATAAAAACTGTTTTATGTCTGAACTATATATATTGTGCTGTACTTTTATTTTTTGCAGCTGACAATGCCCAGTCCAATGCCAGAGTACCTTAATGTACACTACATTTGTGAGTCAGCATCACGACTACTTTTCCTCTCTATGCACTGGGCTAGGTCCATACCTGCATTTCAAGCTCTTGGGTAAATGGACATATTCTGTTGAACGGTTCGCTTTCTAATGAATTTAAGCACTGATCTGAACACTTTTCAGCTATTTTGAATTTTTAAATTACGATATTGTTTAATTTTTAATGAATTCTTTAAAATGTGTGAAGACTATGCAATAGTCTCCTTTTTGAAGAATAAAATAGAAGATGGCAGAGGAGGGGATAACTACAATATCTGATGTTACTGCAGTTACAGAAGCTAAAGCCGAATCAAAAGCAAGCACTTAGTTTGTAGAAATATATCTTGGTAAAGAACTGGTGAGCTCCATTTTACAGATAACCTGAAATGGTTTCCTGTAGTCAGCCTATTGCTTCTTTTTGCTTTTTTAAAATACTTGTAATTGGCTAATATATGCCTTTTAGTAAAGCGGTTTGCAATACATTAATCCTTATTATTAATTGTTATAATTAACATAATTAGTTGTTATAATTAACATAATTACACATAGGGTAATACCAACCTGATAAGAAAACTACCTACAGTTGTTTGATTTTCTGTTCTTTATAGGCAGGACTGTAATACAAGCCTTGTGCGTGCCTGCTGGAACGAGCTGTTTACCTTAGGCCTGGCACAGTGTGCACAGGTAATGAGTCTGTCTACTATCCTAGCAGCTATTGTCAACCATCTCCAGAACAGCATACAGGAAGGTATGTTTTCAATTTGTGATTCTTGTACATGTTCAGTCCTCTGAACACTACAGGGGCATTTGTATAACATTTCTGACAAGATTTTTCCTAATCGGTGGCAGAATTGTTCCCCAGGATCCAGGGGAAGGAGAAGCCTTCTCTTGCATAATTACCTTTCTTCTCGTGATCTACAACTTTTGTTGCTTTGTGAGATCTCTGTGGGATAGAAGTGTCCATAGAAGAAATGGGGATAAGGCTGGGGAACGTATTCTCCTGTCTTCTATATCTGGCTGGCAGTATAGAGAAGGACAAGTACCTCCTAAAGTTGGGTGTGCTCACAGAGCTTTCCTTCCATCCAGATGTAATTTTTTTTTCCTCTTGGAATAATGATGTCTTCTTTCAGACCACACGAGATTTTTTTCCTTCCAGAACTTTCCTTCTCCTCTTTACTGTATAAAACTACAGCATTTGCCAAGTATCACAACAAGAATATTCTTGCAAGTATAATGGTTTTGGATACTGCTATAATGCAGTAATGATTAATGTATTTTGAAGTACCTTCTGAAGCATTAAACAACAAGAAGATATATGTAATTTTATTTTTTAATTCAGTGTTGGCCTGTTGATAGTGATGACTGTATCTAGAATGGATGATAATCTGTTATCGTTGCTTTTTTTCATTCTTTTCTTTAAGGATGCTCCCAATCAATACAGTTGATGAGCGTGAAAATAACATTCTATTTTTAATAGGAGGAAAAAACAATACTAGCAGCTTTAAACTGTGCAAACACAGCATATTACATGAAATCTAGCTTAAATTTAAATGTGAGTTAAAAGTAGTAACAGGATACTATTTGGTACCAAATTGTTTGATGATTTTTTGGTGCCTTTATTGTGCACACAGCAAAAATTAGAAAATAGGCTTTTACTGATGTTGTGCTTTAACCCCAGCTGGCAATTAAGCACCACACAGCCGCTTTCTTACTGTCCCCACTCAGTGGGATGGAGGAGAAAACAAGAAAAAAAAAGAAGTGAGTTGAGATAAAGACAGTTTAACAGGACAGAAAAGGAAGGGATAATAATAGAATATATAAAACAAGTGCTGCACAATACAATTGCTCACCACCCACTGACCAATGCCCAGCCAATCCCAGAGCCATGGTGCCCCCAGCCAACTCCCCCCAGTTTATATACTGGGTATGACATCATATGGTATGGAATACCCCTTTGGCTCATTTGGGTCAGCTGTCCTGGCTGTGTCCCCTCCCAACTTCTTGTGCACCCCCAGCCTCCGCTGGCAGGGCAGTATGAGAAGCTGAAAAGTCATTGACTTGGTAGAAACATTGCTTAGCAACAACTAAAGCATCAGTGTGTTATCAGCATTATTCTCATCCTAAATCCAAAACACAGCACTATACCAGCTACGAAGAAGAAAATTAACTTTATTCCAGCTGAAACCAGGACAATTGAAGAGAGTAAAACTTGATTGTAGAACTGTAAAATGTACAGAAGTAGATAATCTGAAAAAAAATGTTTAATATCCTTCAGTCCTAGTAAAGTACATTTGTTTTAATCTGCTTTATTACTTTCATTATGATAAAGTAAATTAGACAGAAATTTGATTCTTTAATGGACAGTATGCTTTCATAATGAATATAGGGTGGGTTTTTTTCTTTTTTTTTGTAATTTAAGAGAGCCTGGACAGCCCTCAAAATACAACAAACTGATACTCCTTTCCTGCACAGAGAGGCGAGAGTTTTCAGATACCAATAGGGAATCATGCACATTGTATGTTCTGCACAACATTAGGCTTTTAATTATATCTGTCAGAATAAAATTCCACCTACACCCCAGGCAATGAGTTTGTGGAGGAGCAAGTGGTGGGGCTATTACAGTCTTAAGCTGGCTCCACTTCTGTTCACATGTCTCAAAAAAGAAAAAAAAAAATTTGTTCTACAACCTGTACTTCCAGTCATACTGTGTTACCTGAGACTGGCCAAGAAAAGAGGATGATTTGTTTTATTATGATTTGTTGATGATTTGTTTTATTTATCTATTCTGCAAAGTTATCATATTATATTGTATATTATAACTTTAAAATTCAAAACAAAGTGAAGAAATTTCAGAACTTTATCTAGGAAGCATTTTAGCGATGAGGCTATTTGGAAACTCTGGAATTCAAGTTCACTTTTCCTGAGTATGTCTACACCATCATTTCGCACTTAATAGAGAAATAAAAACGTTACATTATGTCTATCTTGATCCATCCTGAGTAACTAAAAACTTGTATCATAATTCCTGTATTTTAGAAGTGTAGATTATGCTTTCATTCTTATTTCAGGACATGGTGCAAAAAATGTTTCTTCTGTTCAATCTTTTTATTGTGGTTTCAGAAAATATGTAAAATAATCATAAATTACATCAAAGATTCAGTTTAAGGCACACGGGTCTAAGCAATGTACAGACAAAGGTAAAAAATTTCAGTTATAATTATATGAATTATTAGCATTAGAGATATGACTGGAATAAAATTATTCTAATGTGTTTCCCAAGAAAGAGTTTTATCCCTTGTGAATTGACTTCTCTCTGAAGTTTGATAAGAGTAATTATATATTCAAAGATTTATTTTAATGTAATCTCTAAGATTTTCATTCTTTGACTAGTCTGCAGATATGCAGTCAGAGAGAAGGTACATTTACCAAAATAGAAATCTCTCCCTCCCTAGCTGAGCAGCTAATGCCACTCAATTGTAACTTATCCACAAATAGTATAAGATTTTTTTTTTAAATCAACATTTTAAGAAAAAATATGAAGCCAACAGAAGGAACGTGATGTTTCAAACAATGCAAGAATCTGTGTACATGTATTTGAGTGAATTTACTCAGAAGGAAGAAAGCCTATTTACCACAGTAAAGGAAAAATTCACTTCTAGAAGTACAGATAGAGGAAAAAGTAGCACTGTCATTACTGCTCTTGCATTCACTTCTGGAAAAGCTAACTCAATACTGTTTGAATTTAAAACTACGATTGCGTGATAGCATTTGTTTTGTGCTTCTGTTCATTCCCAGAATCACTCTAGCCATTTGAGGAATAATTCACCATTTTTGAGAGTCTGCTCAGAATAGTACAACACTGGAATAAGATTGGTGTTGCAGATTATGCTGTACTGGCAAAATTATGCAAAAGAGTTAACATTCTGTTTGTTAGCTCTGTGTCTGACTCAGCTTTATAAATCTTCACTTCCATAATCGTTCAGGCTACCCTTGTATGTTAAGTGGTTTTAAGATAGCAAATGACACAAAAGAATTTAAAATGCCACTTCACTTGTTTTATAAAAGGATATCAGTTAATATATCAGATGTACTTGAGCTCACATGAAATAGTAAGCAATATCTTTTTGTAGATAAACTTTCTGGAGACAGAATAAAGCAAGTCATGGAACACATCTGGAAACTTCAGGAGTTCTGTAACAGCATGGCCAAGCTTGATATTGATGGATATGAATATGCATACCTTAAAGCTATAGTCCTCTTTAGCCCTGGTAAGGAATTTAGTAACTGTATCTTTTTAAATAATAAGCATTCATATGTTAATGTTTTAGCAATTTTTTTAATGAGATTAATGTGTTGAGATGAGACTGGTCTGTTAAGGTGCAGATAAAATGTTTGTTCCATAATGATTTATCACAAACAATATGTGTTTTGAAAATAACTTTGGAGCAACATAACCATGTTATTTACAGTTCCAATATATCAGGTATTTCCTGTACATCCACCTTAGAAGACTAGATTCTCAATTACCTTCAGCTGAGAATCTATGAGTAATAAATTAATCTAGGATGTGCACTAGCAATATTAGTGAAGTAAATGGCAGGAAGGATTAGAGGAACTACATTCTCAAAGTGACAAAAAGAAATTGGCTTCAATTTTAGTATTTTTAATACACTCATAAGAGGGATCAATGAAATATGAGCAGAAATACCACCGTATTTTATATGGAACTTCCACAAAATCTCCAAAACTAAATGTAAACAGGCTGTCTTCCATTTGTTACCAAAAAAAATGACAGCAGACAACTAAAGCATCATCAACAGTGTTTATGAGATATGAGGATTTACTCAAAGAAGACACTTAAGATTTTCTGGAATGATAAGGTAAGGACATGAAAGAAATGGGAAGTGACAGTCCCTTCAGCAAAGGTGGAGAAATGTTCCTAGGACACAGAAAGGTTAATTTAAAACTGCTGACAGGCTGAGTGAAAGGGAAAATCTTGCTCGTAAATGTAAATTATTTACTTTCATTGAAAGGCGTTTACCATGTTGAATTTAACAAAGTACAAAGAAAAGGAGTATCTTGTTATCAGGTTTGGGGGAGGGGGGTCGCACTGATACTATTTTTCTCTTTTTAATAAAACTTACTTTAATTAGAAGCTATTGGTGTCCTGAAATTTGCTTTTGAAATTTTTTTGCGGATTGTACCATTAGGGTTAGGTTTATTAGGGTTTTTATTCAAGTTGGAGGACCAAGAAATTCTCCAAACTCAAGCTAGCTCTGTCCCATTTCAAGGGAAGAGCAGTTTGAACACAACACAGAAGATACTTGGGCATAGTCATATATGTGGTATTTTCTGTTTTTTTCTGATCATGTGACTGTCTTTGAGGAGCTGAGCCAGCTGGAATTAAAACATGAGACGGACTCGGGAAGGTCAAGAAATTGATGTGTTAAGAAAACAACCCTAGATACTGCTCAGTCAGCATAGTTAGTCAAAATCACAGAGGCAAACGCTTTAAAAAATGCAAGGTTAGAAACATAAGCTAGGAGTGTCATTGCCTGGTACATACCTACAGGCTTAATCTTTTTCCACTTTCTTGTGGATACACACAGCTATAGAGAGAAAAGTGAGCAAGCTACTTCTGAAGCCAGGAAGCAAGTGTTCAATTGGGTGGTTTCCTTTATACAGCTAACATGTTAAACATCACAATACAAGAGAAATATTTAAATGAAATTAAATGCAAGAATCTTATAACTACATATATTTCACAATGTATAGGGAAACAATCGACATACAGAAATGTTTTGTTTCTTTAGATCACCCTGGTCTGACCAGTTCAACCCAAATAGAAAAATTCCAGGAGAAGGCACAGATGGAATTGCAGGACTATGTACAAAAAACCTATCCAGAAGATACTTATAGGTATTTATTGTCTATAGTACCCAAAGTAATGTTGTGGGCTGTAGCTGGCAAAAGTACGAAATAACTTCATTGATGTAAAAATTTCCTTTTTGACATCTGTTCTTTTTTGACTGTTGATGAGAAAGAACTAGAACCTTGTTCATAAAAGCAAACAGGTTTGTTTAAAGATAGGTAGAAGCAAGAATAGCTGTCTAGCTTCTTCCATGTAAATTAAACTTGAGTACTTTCTGTTATTTTTTTTAGTTTGGGGTCTTTTTTTTTTGAGAGTCTCATTGCTATGTTTAGAAAAGTAAACAGACTTACTTTATTAGAAGTCTCAAGAATAACTGCCTCTACTCCATCAAACTTTAATTCTAACTGCCTCCTTTTTCAAGTTAGTCGTCAGAGGCTTTGGGATAATAAAAGGTGATTATCATCCTTTAAATGTTTGTCAAGTTACATGTGCAGAAAAGTATTAAAACTCAGTTTATAAACCTTGGAAAAATAAGGATTGCACGTGGAGAACCAACTCTTCAGCTTCTGTTTACAAGAAATTCCCACGTCCTTTGTGGTTTTTTAATTTCCAAGGACTTCTCTTTCAAAGTATCTAACTTGTTTTTTCACCTCTTAACTGTTCCTGTTCCTTATTTGCTAGAAATAATTGTCCTGTTTTCTAATACTCTCCTTCAAAACTATTTTAAATTTCATCAACACAATGATTCTCTGTACTACAAGGGAATTTCTAACTTCTGTCTATCAATATATCCTAGAACATGTTCTCTTTTACTGTGAAAGGTATCCCCATGTAAAGAAGCATGCAATCCCATACATTTAAGCAACATCTGAGGATAGTGTAACTTTAAAAAACAAAAAAAAAAAAAAGAAAAAAGCCTGTAAAAGAGAGAGCTTCTCCCATCTCAGAAGCTGGTATCTGCACTGATCTTACAGACTTAACTCTGTGTTGGGCAACAGAAAGGGCATCAGGATTCCCAGTTAGATGCAGTGAAGATGGGATTCTCTGCTTCAGAAATATCCTCAAATCCCACATTCTTCTGTGTGCAATTCAATTATTCTGGTTTGATGCGTGAGAGCTGGATATCTGCCATAAAAAGAAATACAGAATTTGTTCTATATACTTACTTCTCTTAATAGTGGCTGAAGGAAGAAAATGAGAGTTACATTTCCCAAACAATGTCCTATATTTTAATTGATATTGTCTATATCCCTATGCTCACCCACAGATAAGTTTTAGAGTACAAATCTGATTATTTCTAAGCAACTGAATGCTGGCACAAATTGAGATAGAAGTACAAGTGTTATAATTTTCACAAAAACAGCAGCGTAGCTTGAATCTTTTTGCAATTTTCTCCTAAAGTTTACAAGATATGGTATATTAGCAGAGTGGATCTTACATATTTTCTCCACAGATACTCAAGCATTTTCCAGGGGCCTGTGTTCAGTGCTGCCTAAGGTTTGCTATTACATAGCTCTGGTTCAGGAAATCTAAATATTTTGGCATTTGTGATGTACATCTGCCATATAAACACAGCAGATTTGCTTTCATCACTGTCCTAAATTTCAAATGCGTTGAAACTCCAGAAATTCGATACAATCACTTCATTATATTAGATGTCTGTTAACATCCTGGTACTTAAAAAAACACAGCATTTGGCAATATGTATGGCTAACAGCATATCCCTCCAAATTCCTTTTCTCATCAGAAGCAGATTCTCTTATTTCCTTTTATATATATCCAGTCCCATTCTTGCTGTCTGGTTTGTCATTAAGTTGCTAGGCAACTGAGGACGATGCTGATTTTGGTTTAAATTTTAATTAAGCATTTTACTCTTAAAATTTTGCAAATGTCCTCACTAGTCAGTATGAATATTATTAGTCTCAGCATTGTTCTAAATTATGAAGTGGTTCCAGAGCTGGGAATTTCAAAAGCAGACCAGGAGAATTGTATGTTTGTACATACACAGTGTATCTATAAAGGGCATTAATATGTCTTTTTCATTGGAAAACCACAAAGAAAGATGGTGGCTTTTCATTTCACTTGCAGGTTAGAAAAGTAACCATTCTTTTTATGGTAGCTCAATTAGCTTTAATTGCCTCTTTACTCCCATTCATGAGTTATGGTAATAATAAAAACAGATCCAGCTCTTTAGCCACGAAGTATTTTAAACTGGTATTATATGTATTTATAATCCACTGAAATTCTTTTTCAGGCTAGCCCGGATTCTAGTTCGCCTGCCAGCACTTAGGCTGATGAGCTCTAGCATTACCGAGGAACTATTTTTTACTGGTCTCATTGGAAATGTTCCCATTGACAGCATAATACCCTACATTCTCAAAATGGAAACAGCAGAATATAATGGTCAAATAACTGGCACGTCTGCGTAGTAGGAACAACACAATTTGATGGATTGAAGTAATTTTTGTAAAAACACACAATTATGAAGTTAAAAGAATAGCATTTTGGTATGTAGAAATATTTCCAACTTGTTATCAGTTTCCTGTCAGATTTCTCCTTGTCTGTTTGCTGACATTGACAAAATTTAAGCAGCTATTAAAAGACCTGCTATAGGATCTTTTCTGCCACAAGGAATATTTTTGATGCCTTTCATTTAAAAGGCTATGGATTACTGAACATACTTTTCACATGCTTTGTATTTAGAAATTATCAGTGGTTAAAAATAGAGTTTTATAATATCAGAGATTAGTAATAAAATTACTTTAAAAGTAAAAAGAACAGTATGTATATATTTAAAAATATCCTTGGAGTTAATATCTAATAAATGCCAGGGTATAATACTAGCACTTTGTAAGCACTTCTTGTCAAAGCGACATCATCAACATCCTGCTTATGAGTATGGAAAATGAAAAAAATTGCATATGTCCTTAGTCCAAATGCTATTGATTTCTGTGAAAATGTAGAATGCTACAGGAGACAATCATTTATTCTACAAAAAGTCACTTGCTCTTATGTTATGCATGAAATATTAATGTGGATTCTTGAATTAGATACCCACATTATATGAAACTATACTATTAAATTAATGCAGTTGTAATTCACAGTACGATGCAGTCATAGTGACTATTACGTGCTATGGGAATTATCCAAACTAGGAGAAAAAAATGTGTTTCTTGCCACAGTAATGATGAAATATTCAGGTTCCTTAAAGTTTCTGTTCAGACCAATGCAGTCATGACAAATGTTATTCTAATAGTAAGTGTTTTGATTGTGGGAAAAATCAGTCATTAACTGGAAGAACAGTCATTTTCAAGTAGAGCTGTGTGATGCTCTTTGAGTATGCTCTTTGTATTTCCAAATTTACTCCTTCCCTCTCTACTCCTAAACACCCTCATCATCCAGCCAAAGGTACAATTTAAAACCTGAAATGTGTAGAACCTCTGGCTGTCAGCAAGAGTATATTACAAAGCTGTCTTACTTTATTTCTTCCCCCCTCCGTCCCCTTCCCCGACTGAGCACTCCCAGTTTTGCAGTGCTCTCAACCTTCCTATGACTCAGTTTGAAACTGAAATAGTTAGGATTTACATTCAGTCATGTACAATTGCAGTTAATGACTGATATACCATGAAAATTAACTACTTTTTAATTGTCTAGAGTGATGAGCCATCGACATGTTTTCTGGCATTGGCTATTAGCAGCTAGCATTGCTTTCATTTTAGTATAATTTATTATCATTGATATTAAATATTTAAAGCAATCAAAGTTTAAAAAAAAGTTATGGCAATTAATACCTTCATCTGATCCTGGCTCATTAGATGCATCAATTATTTTAATTATTTGTATGGTAGAGGCATTTTCTACTTCTGTATTTTTATGTGGCAAAAATCTTATGATAAGTTCAGCACTTTCGTTTTTCTTCTGTTACTGAGATTTATTTAGAAACACCAACCAGGTTGGCGTTTGTGTCTTTTTTAAGGGTCTGAATTATAACCAAAAGACCTTAAGTAGCTCTAGATGAGGCTTCTAATGTAATAAAAAGTCCTAACCTGGTATACTTCATTCTCATTAGGAGGCTCACATTTGTAGCACTCATTGTGACATGGAAAGGTATTTAATTTTAGCTTCTGGATGCATTAAAGTCTTCTACAGTTACCACTGTTACACAGCATTCAGAATCTTCTCTTCTCAAAAGCGTGTTACAAAGAGTCCCATATACATGCAGAGATTTGTAATATCGCACTTTCATTTCTCTCGGCTTTTGCTATAGCAAATGAAATTGTCATATTTTTAATGTGATGGAAGGTCTGCACTCTGAATGTTAAGTCAACTGGATGCAGAATTTTGTACTAGCTGTTTTATTGCAGTGTACCTTTTTATGTGATTGTGTCAGCACTTCTGATGCAAAGTCCCTGTTTTAAGGGTATACAACTTAAAAATTAATTGTGATATTAACAACTTCAGAAGAAATAGCTACCTTGGAAAGAGTTGTGGCCATTTTTGTTAAAATTTAAGATTTTATTGGGTTATGTCATTGTTGTTCTAAAAGCAGTATGCATTGACCTGCTGTGATATTTTTCATTGCAAAAAAGATTATGCAGTTTAATTTGCTTTCAGTATTTTGTAAAAATCATTTAAGCAGATAAGTAAGCATTATTAATGACAAATGAAATATTCCTTAGCACAAAAACTAGCCATTGGAATCTTTTTTTCCCCAGATTTGAATATATACCAGCTGGCTTTTTCATGACCAACATCATTTCCACTTCCAATTTTTCAAGTAAAAAGGCCCCATTTTATGTGCAAAAAATTGTTTTCCTAATTTTTCTTACTTGTGCTGTGTAAGCATAACAGTTCAGGAAACAAAATAAAGCCACTACAGTTTTTTGGGAACAGAAGGTTTGCATGAAATAAAACTTAAAAGTGTATGCATTGTATTACATTTGTAAATCAAAATGGTAAATATCATGCAACTCTGTTTACGAATAAACTACACTCCCTACAAATGCAAGGCCACATAATGATATTTTTGATCCATCTCTGGTAGTCACTTACTCTGCAGATAGTTCCCTGGACTTTAGGGATAAATTATTAATTTGTGTAAATGAAGTAACAACAATGCAATCCATATCTAGGGTTTATTTATTGTGCATGCATTTAATAGATTAAATGGACCAGTTCCATACTTCAGATTCTGATATTACCACCTAAAGGCTATAAAGTCTCTCTTTGTGTAGCATCATCAGCATGATTTGCTGGCTTGCATTAGTCAGAACCAAGCTAATTTAGTCTTTATGCCATTAACAAAAAGTACTTTCTCTAACTATACACTATTTTGATTGCAAGACTAACAGTTTGGATTGTAGAAATTTGGATGGTAGATGGTAGATCATAGAGCTTAAGAAATATTCAGAATCTAAAAAGTTTTGCATATTTGAATATTAGCTATAAATAAGAAGAGAGATGTGATGAATAACCTAACACTTCTTTCTTACATGCTGCTCAAGGGCTGTCATAAAAATGAGCCAAAAATTTGGTATATGATGGAGAGACACTGAAAGGAATCACTTAAAACACTGCCATATAAAACTATAAACCATCTTCTCCAGTGCAGTAGGGCTCCTTTGCACTAAATTTCAAGTGTAATTACAGTATCACAGACTGGTTGAGGTTGGAAGGGACCTCTGGAGGTATCTGGTCCAACCCCCCTGCTCAGGCAGGGCCACCTAGAGCCAGCTGCCCAGGACCATGTCCAGGCAGCTTTTGAGCATCTCCAAGGACGAAGACTCCACAACCTCCGGGGGCAACCTGTGCCAGTGCTTGGTCACCCTCAGAGTGAAAAAGTGTTTCCTGATGTTTGAGGGAACCTCCTGTGTTTCAGTTTGTGCCCACTGCCTCTGGTCCTGTCACTGGGCACCACTGAGAAGAGCCTGGCTCCATCTTCTTTGTACCCTCCCTTCAGGTATTTATATCCATTGATGAGATCTCCCCCCACCCTGAGCCTTCTCTTCTCCAGGCTGAACAGTCCCAGCTGCCTCAGCCTTTCCTCACAGGAGAGATGTTCCAGTCCCTTCATCATCTTTGTGGCCCTTCGTTGGACTCTTTCCAAGGTTTCCATGTCTCTCTCGTACTGAGGAGTCCAGCACTGGGGACAGCACTCCAGGTGTGGCCTCACCAGTGCCAAGTAGAGGGGAAGGATCCCCTCCCTCGACCTGCTGGCAACGCTTTGCCTAATGCCGCCCAGGATACCATTAGCCTTCATTGCGGCAAGGGGACGTTGCTGGCTTCTGTTCAGCTTGGTGTCCACCAGGACACCCAGGTCCTGTTCTGCCAAGCTGCTTTCCAGCTGGGTGGCCCCCAGCATATATTAGTGCCTGGGGTTGTTCCTCCCCAGGGGCAGAACTTTGTGCTTCCCCTTTGTGATCTTCATGAGGTTCCCTTCAGCCCATTTTTCCATCCTGTTGAGGTACCTCTCAATGGCAGTACGACCCTCTGGTGTATCAAGCAGTGAAGCTGCTAATCTATCAGTGATCTAGGTGTAATCTAGCAGTGAAGCTATTTTAGCTCATTCAAAGAAATCTTTTTTTCCTTTTATGTCCATCAATAGAAAACAGATGTTCAAGAGGCATAGAACTGACGAAGGGATTCTTTCTGCCAACACTTTAGGTGTTGCTTGGTAGCAATAGAAAAAGGTACATCTAAGGAAAATGGGCCTCACAAAGTTATTCTTGCTCTGTGTTAACCTTTGACATTATTTTTGGCCTCTTCTGGTGATTTGGCTTTCAGGCCACTAACATAAGGAAGGTAGAACAGTGTACACAGTACAGCTGCAGACTCTAGCAAGTTTCAAACTATCTCTGCAGAAAATACAATGCTGATGCAGTTCTTGTCATTTCTGAGGTTTGTTTCATCCCCCTGCCAGTAACTGGAAGATCCTAACAGGCTAATCTTACTAGCTTTACTTTTAAATTAGTTTAATTTTGTTTCTTCTTTGCAAGTGCAGACTTTTGCTTATGAATATGGGACAGGACAGGTTTTTTATTATTGTAACAAATATTGAAAAGCTATTTCTTGATTTTTAAGTATGGAAATAGCTTGTTTTCATAAAGGCCAAATTCCAATGCCAAACTTGTGTTTACAGAACTAGGGCTCAAAGGACCACAGTCTGAAAGAGATTCTAAGAAAAGTGACATCTTCCTGAAGCTCTGCTTAGTGCCTAAAATTCACTCTCTCCAGCATTTTTGAGGTCCTGTTTCTGCTGCTTTTGAAATGAAAATATTTTAACTGTAGAAATACAGTGATAAACTACCTGGTTAGATCTGTCTGAACTTGAGTGCATGTAGGTATTGATAGTAATTCATTAAGACAAATGTTTGAATTCTGTGCTGACTGAAACTGGGGCATGCAGGGAGTGATAATGAGGCAATAATGTCCATTCTCCATGTGCTTCATTCGTTTTCCAGTTCTTTTCAGAAGGAACTGGATTTGAATCTTGCAGGTAAAAAGAACAATGATCAATAACTCTGTAGGAGCATTTTGGGTCAGCTTTGTAATAATGATTTTTACTGCATTTGTGACAAGGGCAAGAAGGTATACTACTTTTCTTCCCTTCATTTACTTACATTTACTAAAGAGATGCAGAACTAAGACCATGTGGAAAAGACATCTTTCTCTGCCTATTTACACTGCTTGTAGATTAGATACAATGCTTTTGGTGCCAGTGATGTTACTCTGGCATGAAACTGGTAGAAAAGGAAAAAATAATCTCCAAGGAGAGATCCTTCAAAGAGATCATACAAGCCTTTATTTTAGCTGCCTTAAAATGTTAGATTATTAAGGAGGGTTAGCTTTCAGAGCACTCTGGGGCAAGAAACTATTGTTGGTCACCATTGATTACTTGGTATCATTTACCAAGTCTCTTTTTACCATCAGCTGAAGCACTTGGCCCTCAGGGCAGCTGTAATGCCTCCAGTGAATAGCACTGACTCAAGATTTCTGTGCAGAATACAGCTGGCTCTGCATTATCATTATAGTACCCTTTGGCAAAGGGCATATTCTGAGGTGTGATAGGAAAACAAGTCAGGGCTGAAACTTCCAGGCAAAACCAGTTTCCTGACTCTTCTTTGGTAGACACTGTAGAACACTTCAGTGTTTTCATTGTTGTGTATAGTACACAGGACGTTCACAGGTTCCTGAAAAATTTCATCCAAGATGCTGAAGATGTCAGTACATTTTCCTGCCAATTAAAGTTAAGAGGGTAGTTAGGGTTCTTCCCTGATTACCTGCTGTTTAATTAGTAAGGGATAATTTTAAAAAGCACCGAATAGCATCAGTAGCAAGGGTATCGGGAATAGAGTTTATACAGGAAAAGGGAACTGGAAATTATCAGGCTGAGGATACGGCCAAAGCAGCAGTGATCAAAGCAGCTTTCTGCAATAGCAGCACCAGTCAGGGGCCATGTTTGAATTGGGTGGTGTGAGCAGTAGAACTGGCAGGTCACTCAGACGTACACAGGTGCAAATACCTATAGGATGATATCACCCTGAAAGAAGAAAAAAAAATTTTTGATGTTGATTTTCTATTTGAAATCCCTCTCCTCTCCTTCAGTTACTTTTAAGAGTGCAAAAGCAGCGTAGGTTGGTTCTTTTTCATCTACTCTTCCCCATAAGAGAAAAAGCAGAAATACCAGGCAAACAACAAGTAGGCTCCCATCTGTCCCAGCAGTTTGCCTTGCTTGCCATACATACATCAACAGAACAGCTGCTGCGGTGGTTTGCTCTGATGATAAGCATGGGCCTGCTGTGAGAGCAGCACACAATGTCTGCAGTCCTAATGACTCCATATATCCAGGGAGAATCAACAAAATGAGGCCATGTTTATCCTAAAAAGGAGAGTAAGGGGTAGAGGAAGGACAATTGCCAGCATCTACTGGATCTTGAATGACAGAAAATTAGTTTAAAAACCAGCTTTATATGAAAAATTACCAAGAGGGCATGGCAAAGGGGAGAAAATGAAAACATTTACTTTTTGCACCTTTTAATTCTAAAGTTGCTGAGTCATTTTAACAATAAATTCTCTTGAACTAAGTTCAGGTTTATTGTTTGATGAAAAATGCCATAACCCCTCTTGTTAGATAATGCTACAACCCTACTTCTGCTGCAGTCAACGTTATCAACATTATATGGGAAATTATTTGTGAAAAAAAATTAGAACATTATTTATACTGAGGTTGCAAGTTAAAGTAAAATTCTTCATAAAGTTTAAATGCTCTAAGTCTAAATATATTAGACTTGGAAAACATCAAACCCCAGAATTACCTTATTATTGAGCTTTTTGTTGTGAAGTCATGCTAAGTTCATCACAGATAATACTGTCATAATGTGCCATAATTCCCACAGCCTGTTTTATCCTCTGAGTTACATGAATGCTTTGAAAATGGCTTATTATTGTTAAATTCATGCCCATCTTCCTTCTTTTTAAGGGTTTTAATAGATTTTTACACATCTTTATTTTGTGCCTCCCACCATTGTGCATTTCTGCATGTTCAATTCTAAAACATGAGCAGCTAATGCATATGTGCATAGCTGTATGTATGTGTGTATGAATGTATATGTTTATACCTATGTCTAAATATATTATGTACAGTGTAAAGAAAGTGTGTAGTGTATGTATATATGTACAGATATGTAGCCATGTATTCATACCGTTCTATATGTTAAAGCTTTTCATTCATTTGCTAATCCAGAGCTTCCTAGTTTTCATTTCTTAGCCCAAACTAAGCCTCGCTTAAGCAGGTGAATCCTCATGAATTTCAGAGCTTTGCACCTTTTTCTAAACCCAGCCTGAATTTAGTATTTGCTATTCAGAACTGATAAATATATTCCATGAATTTTCTGGCTTTTACATTACTCCCTTTACCTTTTCTTATTTGACGTGTAGAAGTCTGCCAGTGAATAGGTAATTGAACATGTAATGTCTGTTATAACTACAGTCATAGAAAATACTTCCCTGTTTTCAATACATACTCATTCTCCTTCAGCCTTCTGAGAGACTTTGGTAAAGTTTTATTTTGCAGTGAAACTTGGTAAGGGATTGATTTTTTTAAGTCTTCAGCAGTGGCTAATTGGAAGAAAAACAAGTTGCCCTTCATCATTGAACTGTAGCACACAGAACAGCATGCAACAGATGCGGTTTAAAAAAATCAATACTCATATTGCCATAATGATAACATGAAACCAAACCGTTAGTTAAACACAGACTATGTACTTTGTTCAATGAAACAACATTTCTGTTACAGTGGTAATTAAATAGGAGGGAGATTGCAGTTAGTTTGTTAGCAAGCATCAAGGCTTATTTAGGATTTTCATGATGCATTTCAATTCTATATTCACTTTCCAAAGTTATTCTCTTTATTGTCTAGCTTAAACTAAACAAAGCTGGTTAGTTCATTTAGTTGTCAGGCTGATGTCCATTTTCACATTCTCTCCTTTCCTGAAACTAATTTGCGCAGATCTTGCACTCTGTGTGTGTTAAGTTTCCATTGTTCACATGGGAGCTGGGCACATGGAGCATTTATGAAGTGAGACTTGCAGTAACACAATTTATTACTCATAGGGAGTATTCAAACATTTAAATTATCAAAATATAAGTAGTTCTTGTTCCTTTTCCCTCCTGATGACTTAAGTTACAAAGGAAGCCTTCTGCGAAAGTAATTCTCCTAACTT